AGGAGCCATCCAGTTGTTTGTTCTGATTGGACAGGCTTGGGTGCTCATACCCATCACTATGGCCACAGTAATTGGCTTAGACTGAATTAGTTGCCTTCTTTGAACTAGGAAACCATCCAGGACAAATCATAGGGCTAAAAAAGGGAAAGAATATCTCTGGGTGCTCTTCCTAGGAGAAGCAAGAGTGGTTGTTGGCTACAGATATTGTCCATCATTTTTAAAAGAACATGTTCAATATAAATGGTTTTATATATTAACAACAACAACAACAGCACAGATGCCTATTGTGTACTAGGTGTTTATAGACATGCAAAGCAATGACTAAGACATGAATTCTACCTTCAAGGAGCTTTTGGTCTCTAGGTTAAAGTGTACATTTAACAGAGAAGAAACCACAGAAAAAGTTAACAAGGTGCACACATCTCAGAAGAACATCAGGTTGGTTTATCTTACAGAATGGCAGATAACTGAGGTTTATTACAACTTGAGTCATGTAGAAAAGGCAATGTTCATTCAGACTTCTATTTAAGAAAGTGTGCAATTCACTGCAGAAAACTGTCCAGTAAGAATGACTCCTTTTATAGACAACTTTAATTAACATAATGGTATTTGAAGAATTTCAGTTATTTGAAAATCTAACATTTTTGGCATATCTGAATTTTCTACTAATTCCAGATAAATGAAAAATGACAATACCAATTCACCATTGTTTCTACTATATAACATAAATAGTTTACATACAACATAAACTTAGAATTTTTTAAGTACTCATATTCCATTTCTTGCCCTTTTCCCAATAAATTCTGCTACCCTAGTTTTTAAACGTTACCTCATCATTCATTCTAACAAATGTCTTTTCTCGATTCCATCTGGGGAAATACTACTTACCCTTCAAGATTCTGTTCAAATATAGCTTTCTCCAAACTAGTGCCTATTTGCATCCCTAAAATGCAATATATCTATTACAGAGTCCTCTTTCTATTCTGCAAACTCAGAATGCAGGAATCTGCCCTTCATTTATCCTAGCATCTCCATGAACTACTGCTCCACCTGATATACTGCAAATGAGCAATGCATATTTGTTGCATTACTTCATCTCCTGTTTTCTCTCAGGAAGAGTGTTTCATGAAATCTCTAGATAGAATAGAAACCCAAGAAATTAAATTAGAGTTATTTCTGTAAGAGTTACAATGGAAAGAGTAAATGGCTTTGCTATTTGTGCTTCTCTTCCACAGGATTCTTGTTCATGCAGAAATATCTTGTAGGTCATGGAGAAGACAGGACCCAGTGCTACTCAGCTGGCAGTTAGGGTACATGAGACATTCCAAAGCAGATTGCCCACTGGTCGGCACTTAAATTCCAGAGGGTTGCATTTTAAATGGCAGAGGCAGTCAGATCTACAGAGCTGGAGTTTTGAGAACCTCAGACTCTGATTTCTTGGCTCAGATACTTATTTGCAATTATTGACCACAGAGAAGCTCTCCTGAAAATTTCATTAGCTAGAGAAGATGTAACTGGGAATTGAAAGAGTACCCCTGGGTTTTTGCAAATGAGAAGTACGCTCTTCACTTGAAATGCTTTATTTTGTTCTATTGAATATAAGAAACCAAACCTACAAAACTATGTTTGCCCAAATTCCACTCTTACAGAAATTTTAACTGAATCAGAATAATTACAGCAAAAGGAACACCATGGGCAGGATAATGTAGGACAGAACCAATCATTGAATGGGATAGCTGGGTGAGAGAAGTGGGGTACCCTCTGAGTATTATATTTTTTTCTTTTCTTTCCTCCACTGAACAAAATTCAAATTCAATCTGAAAATTAAAAGTATTAATAGGGTGGCTTCCTATCAAGATCAATTATCAGGAGCCATGCTAGTTGAATTAACCCAGTTTTTCACCTCTCTTGCCTCTCTAAAATTTGCTCTGTTCATGATTCACTCATTAATTTCTTTAGGTTGCATGCAATACCAAGTGTAAACTATTGCATTCGCCTGAGGATTGAGGCTTCCTATCTGCTCTTCCTAATACTCCACTCCAAGCATCACAAAGTAGAATAAAAAATGTCCACTCGGTGCCAACCCAAGTAAACCCCTAATCTATCTTTCATAAACCCAAATAAAAACCCAAAGGATATAGTCAACCCAACTCTCCAGGATAGTTAAACATAATATTTTAAACTGGGTGCTATTTAGAAGAGCTGGAATGGAATTATACCATTTACTATGAGGTTTTCAAGGCCTTCGTTTCTCTGCTCTTTTCTTTCTTCCTAATGGATGTAAAGCGCATTTATGGATTAACAACTTAACATTGTTTTACAATTATAGCTCAACATTCTTGTCTGAGCTTCAGATTTATATCCATTTCACTTTGGCTTTTGCATATTTGAGAAGTCTCACATATTTAAGAATCCTAATTCTATACTGAGATTCTTGAATTTTCCTCTTCTCACTCCTAGCAGTCATCCTTATCTTAAGACTTGCTTGCCATTATCTGCATAGCTCCTCACACTACGTATGTATTCCACTCATTTGGCTTCATCTCTACTATCACACATATCTTTAAGCCAGTGGCTCGCAGTATCATAAACAGTGCCCAGGAACTTGGAAAGGAAAATATTCAGGCCTCCCCCAACCCTACATCTTTGAATCAGAATCTCTAGGGGTGGGGCTCAGCAATATGTGCTGTTATAAGCCCTCCAGATGGTTCTGATGTACTCTGAAGTTTAAGAACCACATCACTAAGCCACCCTACTCTAGACAGACAGTTGCAATACACTCATAATTAGTCTTTCTACTGTCACTCTTGCCCCTTCCAATTCATTACTTCTCAGAAGTCAAAGTGATGCTTATTGCTATTTTATGCAATCACTTCCTGTTTCTCTTGCTTAATACATCTTAATGGCTTTTAAATGCACTCAGAATAAAATTTAAAAATTGTATCATGGCATTTAAAGAGCAACATGAATAGGGTTCTTACCTATTGCTCTAACATATCCTCCTATGACTTCTCCTCTCTCTCTTAGTGATTATATCATCAGGTCAGACCAGCCGTCTAACCTGCTTGGTCATTCTACTTTTCACTTTGCTGGCATCTCATGTAGCAGGTACCTCCCTTTCCACCACTACTATTCATTCTCCTACCTTCTCTCATCACACTTTGGAATTTCCACATACATATCTGTTTACTTGTGTGCCCTGTAACTTCATCTTATATGATCAATTGTACAGAAACAGAGATCATATTTGTTTTATCGCTATTTTGTACCTACTCACTGGCTCTCTCAGTACTTATAATACGTATTTAAAAGCAAAACCACAACAATAAAAACTTGCTGAATGACCAATCAAATATAATTTTTATGAAGGATAAACTACAAATTAAACAAAGAAAAATAAAACCAGTATTTACATTGGTTTTTAAAAAATGGTGTGCTAAGAACTCCAAGGTGAGATCTGAAGTTGGTATATGCCAACTGGAAACTCTCAAGTACATGGACAAATTACACATGCCAGAAATTTAACAATGGTACAGGGGGTTATGCTAGAAAATATTAATGAATCTATTTAATCTACTAGGTTTTACAATAATCCCTGAGCTCTTCACAGATATACTATAGACCTTGACTGTCTACCTTTAGTCTTCATAGCACACAGGCAACATCCAATAAAAACACTTTGAATATGTCAGCCACATCTTTGATTCTGATTACAACTATCACCCCTTAGGTTTATCTCTAAAGTATTTTTGTTTTGTTTAGTTTTTCTCTTTTTACTTGTATGTGTTATATATGTAAGTGTTTACTTGTATGTGCCGTAGACTCAGAATAATTTTAGCTTCTTTGCTGGCATTGGCCATTTGATTCTTCTCAGTCATGAATAGCACTTGCAATCTGGCTTCATTCATTCCTAGATGCCAGATCACAATACATTTGGGTCCAATTTTAGCATCAGCTCATTTGGATGGTGGATCTCAGGACAGCTTGAGAGAGAAATGGACAAGTACAGACAGATCTAGGCTGGGGCAACATGCAAATGAGTTAATTGGACTGTGATAGTTTCACCCCTCCCTGTAAACACAGACCTCTCCTCCTAGAAACCACAGCACAAAACCCTCACCTCCCCAAAATTGATATACATGCTCAAGAAACTTTATTCTTAATAATCCCCAAAGTGCCTCCTAAGATATAGACTGATAGAGGCTAATGGCAAAATTTTAAGCTTTAGAAAAAACATAGAAAAAGTTTTTCTGGAAGAGAGGCTGTGATGATAAATTTTATGTTCTATTTGACTGGTCCATGGGGTGCCCAGACATTTGATCAAACATTCTAGGTGTGTCTGTGAGGGCATTTCTGGATTAGATGAATATTTGAATCAGTGAGTAAGATTGACCTCCCCAGTATGGGTGAATCTCATCCCATCCTTTCAAGGCCTGAACAGAACAAAAAAGCTAAAATAATTTTCTCTGCCTGACTGTTTTCAAGTTGGGACATCAACTGATGGACTTGACATAAGCTTGTGCAAGGAAGTAGCTGCTTACGTAAGATCATACTTTATAGAAAGAAAAAGAGTTTATAGAAATGGCTAACAAGGCAATTATGCAGATAAACTCAATATAAACCAATTTGACACACTAAAATAAAATAATAATAAAAAACAAAAAAACCACCAAGAAAAAAGAAAGAAAGAAAGAGTTTGACTAAGAGAAAGATCTTGTGAAATTGTTTGTTGATAACATTATTGTTAAGCAACCTGAGTCTCAAATGAGTAAATGAGATAATCCACACAGGCGCTGAAAATAATGCAGAAAACTCAATTCGTCTTTCACATCATCATCACCATCACTGTTATATTAACTTATTATCGATGCCCATAATAAGTTGCAAGTTCACTTGTGTATGCAACCAGTTATACAAATAAGAAACATTTCTCTAACTGAGCAAAGTAAAAGTGTATTCATTCATCATATGCGGGAAGAAGAGGAGCAAATAAAACTCACATTCAGCTGAAGTTCATCTGTCCACTGCCCAATCAGACGGTAACCAGGGTTGGTGGTGTTTGTCGTCTGATACTGAAAGATGTCATAACGCCCAGGTGCATCACCATTCTTGTTAAACATCACTGGAGTGCCAGCGCTACCTGAGGAAGACAAAAAAATGAACGAGTTTAGAGTTAGACAAGATTCCTTCTATCTCTTGTGCTATGGGCGACATTCTGAAGAAGAACATAGTCAGACAATATCCCCAATTGTTCTACAGGTTCCCCCAAAATGGTCCCTGAATTCTTGAACAAGGTATCACTATGACCTGTTGCTTCACAATCTAGAAAGTGAGAAGAAGACAACCTGTCTCTTCTTTTGCATAGTTTCACTATCTCTTAGTTTTTCTTAAAATTCATTCTAAGTAATAAAAGCTATGTGCATTTTGGGGGGGGGGGCAAAAAACCAAAGTTCTCTTTTGGAGGGTAGGCTTCTTGTAGTTCAGCCTTCCCCCACTAGGTAAGTGTTCTAGGAGCCCATCAGCATTAGTGTACCAGCTAGCATTGTTGTGAGAGGCTGAGATCAACTTCGGTGAAGTTTGTTTTGTTTTGTTTTTTTGAGTTTCTTTCAATGTAATTATCCATTTCATGACGGGGGATTTATGAGCACACCTGTCACACTACACTGAGTGTTCAGCAGTTTTTGATAAAAAAAACCGGCATGACTCCCATGCTCTACCTTCCCTATTCACCAGATCTCACCCTGAGTGACTTTTTAAAAATTTGTTTCCCTGGATGAAAAAAGTCCTCAGAGGGAAGCGTTTTGCCACTGTGGAAGAGGTGAAACAAAAAAGGCAGAAGCATGAATACTCATCAGAATTGATGAGTTCCAAAACTGCTTTGAGCAGTGAAAAAAGCATCTGGATAGGTGTATTGCATCCAACAAAGAGTACTTTGAAGGTGACTGAAGTTTAAACATGTAGGAATAAATACAAATTTTTAAATAAATCAATTCTGAGGTTTTTTGTATTTTCAGAGACATGCTTAAGTTTTATCATGCTACTGCTGCTAATTATGATGATTATACTAGTTTCCATCTAACACTAAATTGTGGTCTGTAAAGACTTTCAAATATATAAATAAATATATTAGTTACTAGTCAATTTTAAAAAGGTGACTATAATTAAAAAATAAATAAGCAGCAGGGCACAGTGGCTCCTGCCTATAATTCCAAGCACTTTGGGAGGCTGAGGTGAGAGGATTGCTTGAGCCCAGGAGTTCAAGATTATCCCGGGCAATGTAGTGAGACCTCTCCCTATAAAAAAAGTAAAAAATAAATAAATAAGCAAAAAGTTTATTTAAATATGTATCTGTATACTCATTGCATTTTAAAAATTTTTTGCTGATTGTTTCTAATTTACTTTATATGATAATCAGTGTAAAATGCTTAGCAGTATGCCTGGTAAGTGTTCAATAATTATTAGTTTTCTTTTCAACCTCCCATTTGGGTCTTCTTAAAATGTCCATTTTAAGATACAACCTGTATACCTAATCCTGAATTGTACCCCACATCTTTCAAATAAAAAAACAAACAAACACACAACTAATTATTTTGGTAGAATTAGATGCTGAAGTTAATTTTAAAAGACTAATGCATTTATTGACTATACTTATCTGGTATCTGCATTTATCAATCTATTTGCTCATACTTAATACATAAGTGTATAAAGTTGGAAGAGTGAAAGACTCATTATTAATCACATGAAACAACTGATAAACCATACATAAAAAATTCAAGACACGATTTTTGATTAGTTTCAGCAACAGTTACAAAAGAATCACAAAAAGTTGAGGGTTATTTCTTTCATGATCCCTTGGAAACAGAAAAAAATACCAATGACCTCATAATATGTGGCTGGTATCTGTCTATAGGCTAATACTAGATCAATCTTCCTAGCAGAAAGCAATGTTCTATTTCCTATCATTTATAAGGAATATTCTTTTATAGATTCATTCACAAGGAAAAATCTTTTAAAGATTCTTTACAAGCTGGAACAGAGTCACTAATAACAGACATTCATTCTATTTGTGGGGATGGGATTAGGGGGTGGGGTAAGTCTTAAATAGTAAGCATGAGCACTTTTGATATGGCTCATTATAAACTTAAGACACTAATGGTGGCAGCGCTCTGCATCTAGTAAGCAAAGTCTAGCTTCTGTAGAATCTGGGCCAACATGAATATTTGTATTAATGACATGGGTAAAAGAAAAACTAAGGTATGCGTTTTGATTTGTTAAGTGAGGCATTTGAGTTAGATTCAGTGTAGTCTGGCGTGAACACTCAGATAGAATGGTGGAGAGGTTTATTTCCACAGATCCCAGAGATAAGAGAGATGCAAGTCTCACAGAGCTAATAAAATCATGGACACAAGCACTTAGTCAGTGGGTGAGGAGCTGACAGAGAGGAAGGGGCCTGTGGGCTGAAAAAGTCTTTACTGGAGGTTCAAGGCATTACCTAGGTATATTTCCTGTGACAATGTTGGATTCCTTAATTTGAAGAGAGCGCGAGACTATGTGTGGTTAGCTCAGGGGTTACATTATTGAGCTTACTGGGCTTAAAGCACAGTAGAATGCTCAAGGGGTTCAAGATATAGCCTTATCCATTTGGGACAAAAAAAAAGGAAATGGGCAGAGATTGCCTCAAAATAAGCAGGTCAAGGATGACAAGCCAGGGACAGGTTAACAAAGTTGATGATGAGTCAGCATGCATATGAATGAGAGGAATGACGGCATCTTAACCAGACAGGGGAAAGTATGCTCAAAATGACAAAAAAAAAAAAAAAAAGCCACTACTTGAGAAAGCAGGCATGACAGAGTGTCCCCACATAACAGAGTGTCCCCACTTGAATAATCACTCAGTACAACAATGAAGTTAAAGTTAATATAAGGGTCCAGAAAGAGGGACAATGTATTGGGTCATGGGAGTTATATGAAGTTGCAACTCTGTGCTGGAAGTTATTCCAGCTGAAAGGCGAGTAAATAAGATGGAGAAACAGTTAAGCAACTGCACACCTTTCTACAATTACTGGTCACAGGATTTTATGACATCCCTGAATATGAAAAAGAAAAAAAATCAGAGCTTGTGATAGGATGAACAGAGATTGAAGTATGTCCAGGTTCTGATCCACAGAATTTGTGAATGTTATCTTCTATGAAAAAGGAACTTTTCTGATGTGATTAAGTTAAGGAGCATGATGAGAGGATTATTCTGGATAATCCGGATAGGCCCAATGCAATCCCAAGCCTCATTAGAGGGAGGCAGGAGGAGTCAAAGGCAGAGGAAGGAGATATGATGATGAAACTGAGAAGTTGCAGGGATTTAAGAAAGGGGTCATGAGCTAGAGCGACCTCCAGGAGCTAGGAAGGCAAGGAAATGGATTCCCCTACAAGACCTCCAGAAGTAACCAGACTTCCCTTTACCTTAACTAAAGCCCAGTGAAATCTGTGTGGACTTTCAGATTTCAGAACTGTAAGATAACAAATTTGTGTTGTTTAAGCCATCAAGTCTGTAGTGATTTTAAGTGGTAGTTATAGATAACTGCTACAGAGATGGAGTTATAGAAAACTGCTACAGAGACGGAGAACAAAGAAAATCATCCTAATTTTATAGGTTTAGAGAGGGGAAGTCACTTGCCCCAGTCACTGAGCTAATGAAACTAGAATAATGATCAGTAACTTGCTTTGAAATATTCTAGAATGAGTTTAAATTTCAGGTCCACCACTTAATATATGTTTGACCTTAGCAAGTTATCATTTCATCTCATTCTGCTTCTGATTGTCACACGTAAGACCTTTCTTATAGGGATTTAGTGAGCATTAAATGTAAAAATAAATATGAAGTACTTAGTTCTGTGCATATTCTATACTAAATACTCAATAGATGGTAATTACCTTATATAATTTTTATTTTATTCTATTACTACTATTATTGTTATTTTTGGAGATGAGGTCTTGCTTTGTCACCCAGGCTGAAGTACAGTGGGGTGATCATAGCTCACTGTAGCCTCATACTTCTGGACTGAAATGATCCTCCTGCCAAGGTCTCCCAAAACGCAGGGTTTATGGGCATGGGTTACCATGTCCAACTAAATATGGGTTTTTTTAAATCATCATTTTGCTTGCTTATATCTCAAGACCAGACAAAACACATATTTTCAGTTATTAGACTAGTATATTTTCCAGTGAGCCAAAGTTGCTTCCCCTAACTTGTATCTAATTTAAATTTCTCCACAACTACAAACTTTTTATCTTCCAAATAGCAGTACAGCTCACCTGGGAGTAGATACTGATCTCTTGTGAGAAATGTTGCTTTGATCCCATACACTTGCATCAATGGCTATATCTGTGTGTGGCCAACGGTACCATATCTTTTTTTTCAGCTTTGGATCTTTTTTCTTTTATTTTTTATTTTTATTCAAAGATGGGGTATACCCACATCTTTAAAATAAACAAAAATAAATAAACAAATTTAAAAAATAGGGTACAATTCAATAGTAGGTAGATAAGTGGTCACCTTACAGATAAAGTTTGGGCCACCTTCTGGTCCCTGTTTCACCTGGTTTGAGATCAGGTGCCCTTATTGATGTTATGTGCCCTTCTCCCTCCCCTGGCAGTGTCTCACTACTGCCAATGTCTTTATAGTATTACGATAATGCTTAGGGTTTGCTTATGAATGAGAGTATGTGGTACTCAGTTCTTTGTTTCTGTGATAAATCACTGAGTATGATAGACTCTAAATCCATCCAAGTTGCTGTGATGTCCATGATTTTGTTCTTTATGGCTGCATAATATTCCATCATATATATGTACCACATTTTTAAAATCCAGTCTACTTTCGATGGGCAGCATGGTTGGTTCCATGTTTTTACCATTGTGAATAATGCTGCAACAAACATGCGTGTATAGGTAACTTCTTTGTAGAATGATTTGAGTTTCTATGGGTGTATTTCCAGAAGTGGGATTCCTGGGTCGTATGTAAGGTCAAATTTTAGAACTTTTAGGAATCATCACACTATTTTCCACAGAGGTTGTATTGGTTTACACTTCTACCAACAGCAAAGGCACCATTTCTATGTGAGTTTTCTATGTTTTACCTTGGCACTA